TCTATGCTCTAACTACGAAAATATTTGATTTACAAATAAGGAATCCTACTTCGCGGAATTTCATTTATCACGGTAGGGTCTAGAACCGATTAACCGCGATTAACGAGGGTTCACTGTAGACCCATTGGAAAATACATTCACTCCCTCAGTCCTGACATGGGATGAGGAGCCTCTGTGTCCCACTGTCTGTCTGTCTCTAATATTTTCCACAATCGCAAAGTCACTTCTGAAGACACAGTTCGAGTGCTGGGGAGTCCCTCATCCCAACAGGCACCTTGTGAGAAACAGGCTGCTGGAAAGCCGGTAACCGACTGGCCTCCTGTGGTAGTTACGTAATCTCCTGCCAACTTGAGGGCATTAAGAGCGAAGGGGTGGCATTTAGTCTGTCAATCAGGCCGTAACTCGGTTGGAGGGTGCCCAAGATAAATGGCGTGCCCCTTTCCTACTCTGCCTTCATCTTCCTGTTGGCAAGCCATGTGGAGACTTGCTGAGACCTTCGAGAAGAGCCCCTCTCTGCTTCCTGTTGGACAGCCACACAGAGCCCTGCGCCAGTGCTGAGATGCTTCCACCGCCACTGGATCCACAGACTTCGCACCCACGGGCCTGTGCTCTTCCTGCACTCTGCATCATTGCGTGTGCTGTGTGAGTCTGAAGCGGGATTTGTGGACTAGTATCAGACTTCAGGGCTGCTACTGGACTGGGCTGGGCTGTTTTCTTAAGATACAATTACTCTCAGATATAAAGCTCTTTCTTACACATATATGAACGTCTCTGGATTTGTTTCTCTAGTCAACCTGGTCTAACACACCTAAGTCAAGACAGGCTCCCTTGAGAGTGCCCGGCACACCTGCACCATCTTTTTGAAAACAAACTGAGCATCCTTCTCTTGTTCCAGAGGCTGCCTCTGAACACGGCGGCAGAGCACCTTGGAGAGAAAGACGTCAGCCTGTTTGGCACAAAACGTGAGGGTTTGTTTTCCCTTCTTCCTGTCGCTGCGTGGCACAGGCCATTAACACACTGCTAACTGAAAGGCTGGAGGTTCAAGTCCACGTAGCAGTACTTCGGAGGAAAGGCCTTGGCGGCCTGCTCCTGAAAAAGCCGGCCTTGGAAACCCTAGAAGACCGAAGAACTAGATGCTGCCTGGCAACCACTGCAGACCAGACTGCTTGGAAAGGGAACCCAGTAAGAGGTACTGGATAGAGTGGGAGGAAAACATGGGACAGTAACAAAATCATTGACAAAGATCAGGCTCATCGGCTGAAAGAGGTTGGTGGGGCCCACGAGACGATGGCCCGTAGTCACCCACCCAACTTGGAAGCACACTCCTCCCAAGTGGCTCACCTGTCAGCCACATGACAGACAGGCCTATAAAGTGAGCGATAACACCAGGGAGGAACTTGCTCCTCAGGGCAGTCAGCCATCTGAAGTCAAAGGGCAGTGTTTGCCCGGGGGGAAGCTCAGGAGCAGGACAGGAGGGCAAAGGGGAACAGGAAGCACGGGAGGAAGTGGGAAGAAGGCTATCCCATGGTGGGGGCTACAACCGTGTCACTAATCGAACCATGCCTCAATTATGGAATGGAAACCCATGTTCCCTTTAAACTCCCACCCAAACCACAATCAAAACAAAAGCCCCCTCTGGGGCACAGTTCCATCCTGATGCACACAGCTCACCATCAGTGGGTTAAAAAAGAATCCCAATTCTCTAAGGTGTTAAAAGAATTATTTTATGGAAGGTACCCACCGCGTCCGTGTTGGCCTCTTTTTCCTTTCTCTCACAGGATGCAAGCTGTCTGTGTACCTTTCCGAGTTGACACAGGAGCATCAAGGACTTCTCAATAAAATGACACAGTCGCTCAGAAGGGGAGTCTGGGCCTTTCCCCCCTTGCCCTTGCCGGGCCCCACACCACCACAGCCGCGGTCACTGTCCGGTGCCTTCGAATCAGGTCCAGCTCTTATCGACCCGGAGACATCGCCTGGGCCTGCCCCAGCCTCACTGCCATTGCTGTGTCTCAGCCCATTGTTGCAGCAACGGTGTCAGTCCAGCTCACTGGGGGACTCCCTCTTTCCTACTGCCCCTCCACTCTACCTCTAGTGGCATAGTGGTTACAAGCTGGGCTGCTAATCCCAAACACTGCAGTTTGAAACCACCAGCCGCTCTGGAGAAGCAAGATGAGGCTCTCTACTCACTCCCATAAAGAATTATAGTCTCGGAAACCCACAGGGGCACTTTTATTCTGTTCTACAGATTCACGATTTGTCAGAATCAACTCATTGACAGTGAGTTTGGCTGTCTTTTGAGTTGCCACTCCACCAAAGTCAGGGGTGTATCCTCACACCATACTTATTCAATTTGTTTACTGAGCAAATAACCAGGGAAGCTGGATTACATGAAGAATGTCGCACCGGGATCGGAGGAAGGCTTATGAACAACCTGCACCATGCAGGTGACACAGCCTTGCTTGCTTGAAGCGCTTGCTGATGAAGATCCAGGATTGCAGCCTTCAGTATGGATGCCAACTCCATGATATGAAGAATAAAATCCTCACATCAGGACAACTGGGGAAAAGATGGAAGTTGTCAAGGAGTTCACCTTCTTTGGATCCACAATCCGTGCTCATGGAAACAGCATTCCACTGGGTCAATCTGCGGCACAAGGCCTTTTTAAAGTGTTGAAAAGCAAGATTATTTTGAGGACTAAGGAGCGCCTGCCCCAAGTCCTGGTATTTTCAATAGCCTTAGCTGCATGTGAAAGTTGGACATTCAAT